AGGAATGTGAGGGCAGGACATGGCCAGGCCAAGGGCCATCCCCAGCCGGTGGCCATTTGCCACCCAGCCGTGCGGTGGCGGTGCCTGCTCCAGCTGGGTGCTGGGAGAGCAGGGTGCCAGGCAGGCTGTTTACCAGTCCCCCAGCTCCAGGCCGGGCAGCAGCAGGGCCATGAAAGGGAATCGGTGCCGGCAGCAAACCCCGGCCTTTTGCATTCTTTGTCCCAATAAGGCCAGGAGCCATGTGCTGGCTGGCCCCGACCCCCCCCCCGGGGCGCGCGCGCCGGGCCGTCCCAGGGGCGCTGGCTGGCCCCGACCCCCCCCCGGGGCCGTGCTCGCTGGCCCGGCCAGGGCCCAGCACCCTCCAGGTCCTCCCCGCAGCCTTGAGGGATCGCAGTGGCCAGCAGCTGCTGTCTTCCTACTGCTGGGAAAACTGTCCCTGCGGCTGTGCCAGGAGGAAACAGAGGCGGGAGGGAACAGAAAGCAGCTCTCTGCCCCCAGGGTCAGGGTTCCCACTCGGAGCCGCCCTTGCAGGGGGAGGTCCCCTCCCTCCAAGGAGCCCCAGGGGGCTGCTGGCTCCTGGTAAGGCGGAAACCCTGAGGAGATGCTGAGGGGTGGTAGGCTGCAGTGTGGCACAGCCCTGGGGCAGAGGGAAGCGTGCAGGACCCAACCCCCCTCGCCTCACCTGGGGGCTCAAACCTGGGTGCTGGGGAAAGGCTGAGCCCCCGCGCTAGGGCATCAGTGACTCCGGCCCCAGGCCAGAGCACTGCCTGTTCTGTGCCTGCCTGCACCCTGGGTGCTCCCTGGTGCGGGGGCCGAGCCACTGAGCCTCCTCGCTCTCCTCTCCAGAGGCGATGCTGGGCTGGCCCTGCTATGCCTGGCGGGTGTAGGGGTGATCCCGATCTCTTGGCACAGACCCCAGGTACCACTCACTGCCCTGCCAGGGTGTGGGTACCTCAGTCTCTGCCTTGCCCTCCTCTGCAGCGTGGTTTGGCACTGCAGGGCAGAGCCAGCTGCCTGGGGTGCCTGGCAGCCTGCGAGTGCTGCCCGATTTTGACACTACGCTCAGGGGAGTGTGGGGTGACAGGGAGGGGAACCCCAGGGTGCTGTGCTTGGAGAGGGGGGCGGGGATGGCAACAGCACCCTGTGACACACTCACTCTCTGCTCCCCTTGTCCTGTTCCTTGCATATCTGGCCTGTCCCTTCCCAAGTGGCAGTGCCCACCCAGAACGTAGCGGGGACCCCGGCTCGCCTGAACACTCACCGGTGGGAGCAAGCGTCCTCCTCCTCCCCGCGCCCGGCTGGCCGCACGGGTAAGGTCCCAGCGGCGGCTGCCTCCACACTCTGCTTCCCAGTGGCAGGAGTCCCCCGGTGGAGCCTGGGCAGGCGCAGAGCTCTGCAGTGGCAGGATGCTGCAGGATGCTGCTGGCTGAGGGGGGCTGGCTGCTGGCTGCCCACCTGTTTTCTTGCCCCCTGCCCAGCATCCGTCCCTCCCCACCCATGTGCACGCCCAGCCAGGTCCCAGCAGAAGCTTTGAAGGGCTGCAGGCACCCCGGGGGGGGCAGCATGCATGGCAGGGCAGCCAGAGGGGTTGGGGTTGCATGTGCGGTGGGGTTTCTGGGGGCAGCATGCATTGTGTGGGCACCGTGGGGTGCTGCATGCGTGGCAGGACACAGGTGGGGGGGGTGGCATCATGCATCGTGTGGGCAGCCTGGGGGGCAGCATGCATGGTGGGGCACCCCGGGGCAGGGGGGCAGCATGCATCGTAGAG